ATGTAACTTGCTTATTTATCATATAATTGTTTGTAATCCATCACTCCCTCACCCATCACTAGAATATAAAATCCTTGAGGGCAGCATTGTTTTATTTTTTTGCCTGCTTGTTTGCTAATATATCCCCAATCCCTTGAATAGTGTTTGGCACATAGTAGGCAGTCAGTAAACAGTTGTTCATTGAATAAATAAATGAATGTTTTCCATGGAGTATAAATACAGTGGCATGCAATTCTTTATCTTGCATTCACAGTTATAGTGGTTGATCATGTGCCAATATTTTTGCAAAGAAATACGTAAACCAAATATAAAATGATAAAATCCCTCAGCCCAAATTGTACAACACAAATGGTCCTAAAACTTCTTATCTCTTTTAACTCTTGCTGAAATTTCAACCTTGATAATGACACTCTTACCTAAAACAAAGGCTCTGAGTTATTCGGAAATAAATCATTTAACTCATGGCTAACTAGCAGGTAACAAATGAAGAAAATATGCCAAATAAAATTGACTGCATGTGTGCAAATTTAAGCATTAATTGTAATAATATACACACATTTAAAACCTTACAGGCATGCATAGAAACTCATTTTCCTGACTAGATATTTTTCTTGACAGGAGACACCATTCTTCAAAACTAACAGTAGGTGGAGCCCCAAACCTCAGAGTCATCTTTATGTTATTGGCTTTTCTGCAGGCTTCTCAATGAGCTTCCTCATAATGTAATTCCAAACTCCAGATGAAAAAGAACATAATTTCCATGCATTCGTAGTACACAAATGTAAAAGATTCCAGTATACTTGTAATTCCCTTCTTGTAAACAGTTCTTTCCGTATCTTTTCTTCTCAAATACTTGCTTTTTGAATTCAAATTTGTGATTTTATATTCCCAATGGGTTCACAGAAAAAAAAAATGGGAATAATTTGTCTTAAGTACACATTCCATTTCTGCTTTCTGAGCATCCCCTTTCCCTAGCAATGTTAAAAATACACTGTTTGGGTGTCTCAATGCATGGAAATCACCTAGCAATCACTTGAGAAACTTACTCATTTTTGTTTTCCTTCTGATGGCTCTAATCTACGAGGGCCTTAAAAGAGTAAGAGCTGAGTTTTTCTTTTTCATTATTGTAAACCCATGGCCTGACACTGACCTATGAGTATGATAGGTACTTAATAAAAATTTGCTCAATACATGAAGGCATCTAGCTTTGGAGACTTTCTGCTCTTAGTTCTAACTGCCTTGTAGAGAAGATTTGGTCCCAAGAAAATAATGGCCACTATTTTCATTGTTCATCTCAGTTATTACCATGATTGGCTACCCATCCCGGTAATTCTTTTTTGGGACAGTGCTGCTGCTGCTGCTAAGTCGCTTCAGTTGTGTCCACTCTGTGCGACCCCAGAGACGGCAGCCCACCAGGCTTACCTGTCCCTGGGACAGTTAGACAGCATTTATTTCAACAACATTTGAGCATCCAATGAGTATCATCTGGGGTCCCAAGTGTCCTGGGAACTGGGAATAGAGCTGTGAGCATGTCAAAAGAGGTTTTTCAACACCACCCACCCCCTACCTCCAGGGGAATCCTAGCACCGACTTGCATATATATGATTGTGAAGGGGAAAAGTCTGATAAGCGCTTTCAGCCATAACTCTAAAAAGCCAATGCCTATGCAGAATCACTCCAGGGAAATTTAAGAAAAATATACGTAACAGAAAATGGGAGAAATTAGAGATCTGGATGCTGGCCTAGTGGAGAAGGCAATACCTGTGCAGGGGCTTTAAGCTAGACCTTGAAGGATAGGTCATATCATCACACTAACAAACTTGCAGAGAGTCTTTCAAAATTTGGGGTTTAAAGTATTTGTAGAGAGTTTAACCTTTTATTTTATATTGGCGCATAGCCAATTAACAATGTTGTGGTAGTTTCACAGCAAAGGAACTCAGCCATACTTGTACATGTATCCAGGTTCCCTTAAATTCCCCTCCCATCCAGGCTGCCACATAACATTGAGTAGAGTTCCCTGGGCTATATGGTAGGTCCTTGTTGGTTACCCATTTTGAATATAGCAGTGTGTACATATCAATCCCCAAACTCCCTAACTATCCCTTCCCCCAGTTCTTCCCCCCTGGCAACCGTATATTCATTCTCAAAGTCTGTGAGTCGGTTTTGTAAATAAGTTCATTTGTATAATTTTAGATTCCATACATAAGGATGTCACGTGATATTTCTCCTTCTCTGTCTGACTTACTTCACTCAGTATGGCAATCAAGAGCTAAACTTTTAAACCATAGCATAAAGTTTTGGAGTGGTGATAAACAGTCTCCTGAGATAGAATGACTAGTAGGCTTGTAGAACTTTTTGGAAAGAGGCTGTGCATATGTTCATACATATACACATCCACAAACAGAATGTGTCACTCTGTATTTGGTGCAAATAAACACCATGCCCTGGTTGTAGGGTAGGAACTGTGTCATACAGATATTTGTGTCCCCATTGCTTGGCACAGTGACCCTTAGAGATTAAACACTCATTTTCAATACATTTTATTGATGTTGTGACATTAAAAAGTTAGTCTTCTAGGCAAAAAACAATTGTATAATACCTCAGGCTGACAATTTTGTGTAGAATGTAACACAAACAAATGGAAATTTTCAGGAGTTTCTTTTCTCTGATTTAGAAAACCTGGTAAATTTAGCCAGGTTTTCAGATCAGCAATCCTTCGTTGAATAATCAATTAATGTCAGTGTGTTAGAGTGTCTATCTGGCAGGAAAACCCTACTCAAAATTAAAATAGTAGTTCTTTTGTAAGATTCAAAATTGTAAGTTAGTGAGATAATGAGGCAAAAGATGGTTTTTATTATAGCAACTATTTTTAGAATTTAAAGAAGTTGTGGGTACTCTTCCAGACAGCAATAGAACAAAATCATTTAATTACTGGGTAATACAATCCGACTCCAAAGCAAATAGGTTTCTATTTCAGTTTTAAATAGTTTAGTCCTTGTTAAGCACACCCATTTATGAAATAGTATGTGTAGATAAATAGAAAAGTTCTTGACAGTTTTGCAGTGGTCAAAGCAAGCAGATTCTTTGATATTTATATAGTGGTCATCAACAAGTCAATTGACATGAGTTTGAGCAAACTCCAGGAGACAGTGAAGGACACAGCAGCCTGGCATGCTGTAGCCCATGGGGTCACAAAGAATTGGACATGACTGAGCAACTAAACAACAATATAGTGGTAAAGAACAAATACATATTGATAGAATGTTTCTAGATAATCAAATATTAAACATATTGGGCTTTAGTCTACTGACATATTTTTTAAATTTATTTTTAATTGAAGGATAATTGCTTTACAATATTGTGGTTTCTGCCATACATGAACATGAATTAGTCTACTAATATTTTTTAAAGTTTATAAAGCTGAATACTACACCTTGAATCAAGGGATAAATTCAAATATCATTTTAATATTGAAACGGCTTTAAACACTAAAACTACGACAGCCAAGATCTAATATTGCTAACCTAAAACAAATATACACCTGCTTTTTGCAATGGTAACTGCAAATTTTATGATCACAACAGAGTCAGGTAATCTGCGAAAACCTAGAAATTTCTAGTTAAATGCTGAAGAGGTCTTTTCTTAATGAAGCTTTGAAAGTCCTACAGTCTGAAAAGGAAATGGTTACAAAATAAATGCTTTTCAAATTTACAGATAAAATTTTATTATAATATATGCTAAAAAAAAAAAATTAGGGACTTCCCTGGTGGACCAGTGGTTAAGACTCCATGCTTCCAACCAGGGAGCATGTGTTCAACTGGTATCCCACAGGCTGTGTTGTATGGCCAGAAAAAAAAAGTTAAAACAAATCAAATTTTAATGGCTTAACCAGTATTCAAAAAAGAACTCAGGAGGCTAAAGTGGTGTGCTAAATTTTGCAAAATGAAATTTACCCTTAGATCCTACTAGTGGAAACCACTAGAATGACTGCTTAGTTCCCAAATACTCTTCCTCTGAAAACCTTGTCACTGATCAGGATGGACCTTAACAGCCAATGAGTCCAATGTGGCCTATCTCTCTGGACACAGAGGTTTAAAACAGAACTCGACATGACATTTCTGAATGTGGCAATAAACAAAATTAAGGTGAAATTAAGAGCTGAGATTTGAGTAATTTCTAAAAAAAAACAAGTGAATGGAAATTCAGGGAAAGCAAATTTCCACATAGAGAAGACCCGAGGATGTGTATTTAGCATAAAAACTTTAAAGACACAGCTCATCTGGTTTTCCAGTGACTTTGTAATATAAATAGGGTATTATTAGTCTGGTCGGATATGTTTCAACATGCAATCAATCTTGCTTGATAAAGCTCATAGAATTTTCTGCAGAAAACTGGGATACCCTAGTTTTTAGGACTGATATAAATATATAACACGTGCATCCCAGGTGGCGCTAGTACAAAACAACCTGCCTGCCAATGCAAGAGACATAAGAGATGCAGGTTTGATCCCTAAGTCAGGAAGATCCCCTGGAGGAGGGCATGGCAACCCACTCCAGTATTCTTGCCTGGAGAATCCCAAGGACAGAGGAGCCTGGCAGCCTCCAGTCCATAGTGTCGCACAGAGTTGGACAGGACTGAAACGACTTAGCACGCACGCACAAACATATAACTCATCTGCACAAATGTGGAGGACATAAAGGCGTGGGGTAAGCATGAAGGTTACCAGTCTAACTTCAATACATGTATGATTTATGCAACAGATTTTGTCTGATTTCATACTTAAGCTTTTCCAAGGGATGTTGTATTACAACTTGTGTAGCCTTTCACTGTGTCTGTACTAACCTAAAAGAAAAGTTGGCTTGGCCACTGGGTCCTGTTCTCATCTCCTCTTCTTCGCTGCTTGGTTTTCCTTTACTAAAATGGCCCCGCTCTCTCCTCATTGGTGCTTTCTCCCCCGCAGGTGGCAGCCCTAGCTCCGCCCACCAGTCACCGCTCGGGTCCTAAGTTCTGGAGAACGTAAGTCCCAGACCAGCGGCAGGGGGCGGGGCGGGGCGGGTGCCGGACGTGACGTTTTCGGAAGCGCCGAGAGTCGTCCGCGGGGCACAGGTGGGGAAGGGTCCCAGCGGTGTGGTGGGGCTCGGGCGCCGAGCGTAATCGGAGTGTGACTGGGAGCGGCCACCGTGAGTGTGGGGCCTGCAGCCTTCTCCTCCCTGCGCCCCTTGCCTGGGCTGTCGCGCGCGAGGCCCCTGACGGCTCCGGTCCCCAGCTGGCCCGGCGCGTCCCCTCCTACCGCACGCGATAGACGCGAAAACCTCGAATAATTTTGCCCCGTGTTGACAACTTGGGCTTGAGTGCCTTCGAGACGGCCTCAAGCAGTTGTCAGTGGACTCTTCTCCGCTGTAAACGCCCCCTTCGCTCATTCCTGGTACTTCCTTTCGCCTCCCAGTCATCTTCCCCCGCCTCGGGATTTTCCGCCTCTTTCCCCCCTTGTTTGCGGACGCTACATCTCCTCTTTGGAGTGTTGCTCAGCCTTGTGTGGGGCAGCACTTGCTGGCCTTGGGAAGGGGTTCCATTCTCGACCAAAAGACCCTCTCCCGAGAGGTGACAAAGAGCAACAAGCTTCTCCTGCTTCAGTTAGCTCTGATGGGCTCTGCACTGAGTTTACTAGTTAGCCAACTTGGGGAGGTTTTAGATTTGCTAGTGGCTTCTTGAGCCCCTGAAAAGACTCCCACAGAGGCGGAATGCCTCTACATCCCTGGTAGTCCCCACAACTTTTGTACCCTTAGGGTGTTTGAGAAGAAGCTTGGTGGAGGAAGTGTGACCTGGAGATAGAATTGGCCTGGAGAAAATCATCTTTGAGGGAGTGCTTGGAATGGAAAACAACAGTGGATAGACAAATGAAACAAATGTGAGGATTTCTGGGCAGATAAGAATCCTGACTGAAGCAAAAGGTCTCTGTTGGCAATGAGTAAGGTTTAAAAGGACCAAATGGGGCCAGTTGACACAGGGCCTTGAATTCCAAAATCTGCTGTAGCTTGTGTATTCTACAGCATGCTGGTTGTGCTGTGTCGCTTCAGTTATGTCCGACTTTGTGACACTATAGCCTATAGCCCACCAGGCTCTTTTGTCCATGGGATTCTCCAGGCAAAAATACTGGCGTGGGGGGTGTGCTGCAATTCAGTATGCATCAAATACCCAGAATCTTTTTGGAAGTGATGTAGAGTGATATCTGATTGGAAGAAAGAATCTGATTCGAACAGCACCAGTATCAAGAAAGATTGTAGAATGACTGCAACCTGAGACCAAGGGAAGGAAAGCTCCCAGGATGTTTTTGTTGTTGTTGGTTTGGGTTTTGCCTTTCAAGTTACCTTTGTGTCCTTTTGTTATTCAAAGAGTACTTAGTCTTCGAAGATATATTTGAGTAAACTGTTTTCTAGATCTAGATTCCTTACCCTGAAATGATGATGATGTAGATTGACTGGACTAGTGGTTTTATGAACAGAGTTGGGATTATAAATATTCATACTCACACCATTTCCCCTCACTAACCTTGTGCTAAAGTGTGAAAAGGTGTAGACAGAGTCCGTTACTCTCAGGTTAAATGATCAACTTAAAGTCAGTTAACAATCATCAGGAAATGTCATTGAGTATTCTCTGTCAGATACTGGGATAGGTGGCAGTGGGTAGCTGGGAGGAGAGATAGTGGAAAAAATACAAGATACTGTCTGTCTTTTTGTGGTGCCGAGGTCAGGGCCACCTAATGACAGGGAACGGTTAGCATGAAGAGAGAACTGAACCCCTTGGGGCTCATTATAGTTATACTCTTTGTACCACCTAATCATGCCACAGGCATTATGGGTTTCTGAGTCTGTCAGTCCTTTTATCCTTGTGAAATGGGCTTTCTTGAGAGTCTCAGACTTCTTGTGGGAAAGAGACCTTATTTAATATGAGCAACAGCATGTGGTGTTTTTCTCTAATTTCTTTGTAAGGTAGAGGTTTGTTGAGATAAACACCTGTGACAGGTGTTTGGTGACAGGGGCCTTGGTATTGATGCCATCTTTTGTTTATTTGTTTCAGGACTTCTTGGTCCTCATGTCTGACCATGGAGATGTGAGCCTCCCACCCGAAGACCGGGTGAGGGCTCTGTCCCAAAGGGGTAGCACAGTGGAGATAAATGAAGACATTCCACCCCGCCGGTACTTCCGCTCTGGAGTGGAGATTATCCGAATGGCATCTGTTTACTGTGAGGAAGGCAACATTGAATATGCTTTCATCCTCTATAACAAGTATATCACGTAAGACACCTCCGGTTTCCTTTTTCTTTTCTGGTGACTGATGCCTCACTCATGGTGCTCTTGTGCTCATTTATTTCTGCTCAGAATCGCTAAAACCAGAGAACTTTACAACATCATTATCATTAATCATTTTTGCTGGCAGCTCCTACATATTAGCTGTTCTTGACATTCAAAGACACGGGTACTGAAAGTGTTGTTTTCATGACTCAGTAATTTCATGAGTAAGAGACCTAGCTCTTTGGGCTGTGCCCACATGGCCCAGCTGTTAGGCAAGAGAGTTGGTGTTTAAACTATACATGTTTTGTATTGATGAAGGTTTTTTCCTGTCCCCTCTCTATTAAGGCAGCCAATCAGAGGATTATTGTTGAGGTTTAGCAGAGTCAAAATTCCTCAGCACTACTTATTTTGTAGCAAATTGAGTGTCTCAGGAAAGAGTTTTTTCTTAACCTTTATCATAATCATGTAAATCATTAAATAAGTATTGACCACCTGCAGTTTGTATAGCTCATCATAAGACCTTTCTCTTGAGTTGCTTAGCCTCTTGCAGCATGAATTGAAGATTTCAGTTAACAGGAACAATTGCTAAAGTCCCAGTGATACTGGAAAAGATGTATAATTTAGGAAGGGAATAATAATGTTAAAAGATTTCATTTGTAATTTCTAGTCTTGTCCTTTCATAATAGTAGGACCTTAAGATAATAATAATTACAGTGTATTTGTATAGCTCTTAAATAGTTCATAGAAATTTCACCTGGATTTGTGTCAATTGATCTTCACAGTTTTGTGTGCGCTGTGTGGGGCACATCGTCCTTCCATTCTGCAGACCAGGAAACACCTTCCAAGTTCAGTGGTAGGCTTTATTTCACAATTTGGAGTGGCAAAATCTGGATTTTCCAACTCTTAATTCAGGATTCATTCTACAACATAAGTCCTATTCTTTTTGTTTTCTTTTTGGTGATGTTTCTTGAATTGAAGGTAGTCTTTTGAATTATAGTCTGGAGACACACTAATTTTGGGTTATTTTTATTGTTTTTTGAATAGGTAACATGTGCATGTAGTGCAGAATTCAGAAGGCACAAAAGCATCTATATATTTAAAAACTAAATTTCCCTACCACTCCTCTTTTCCCCCAAACCTTTAGTTCCCCTCCCCACAGGCAGTCACTCTTACTAGTTTCTTATATGTTCTTCCAGAGGTGATGGATGCATATTAATTATATGATATTAAGTTTTTGATCACATACTGCTCTAAAGCAGTGTTTGTCATCTTTGGTGTTAGTGACATTTTGGGTTGAACAGTACTTTGTTGCACAGGAATGGCCTGTGCATTTTAGTGTGTTCAGCAGCATCTTTGGTCTCTCTTCTCACTAGATGCCAGTAGAACCACTTACCCCCGAGTTGTGACAACCCAGAATGTCTCCAGATATCACTAACGCTTTCTGAGAGGCAAAACTGCCCCAGTTGAGAGCCACTACTCTAAAGAAAAGGAGGTATAAGAGTGGGTTGCCTAGAATTCATATTGTAATTTTAGAATGGAACAAAGGGAGTGCTGTGGTTTTTTTAAGTTTATAAGTAGTATCTGTTTCCTCAGAGATGTTGCAGTCCATGCATACCACAGTGTCCTGTTATGTGGCCTCAATGCTGATAAAGTTTCATAGAATTATAATTACATTTCTCCCTCTCTTTGCTATTAGGAATTTTTCATTCCTAGGCACAATGGGCACAAAATTTATTTCCCTGAGACATTTCTTTGGCTATTGTCCTCCTCTTCATTTACTGTGCTGCTGGTAGAAAATGGAACTAGTATATTTCCAGTAATCTTGTAGATAGGTCTCTCAGAATGAGGGGCACAGTTCCTTTGGGAAATTATAGTTGAGTAAGCGCAACAGAATCATGGAATCTACCAGGTATTTTCTGAAGGGCCTTCTGGGTCTTGTTGTTCCACATAGAAAGTGCTTTGAGGGTGAGGATCATATTCATTCAGCAAATATATGTTGTGTATATTTACTATCTACTTGACACTGCAGTAAGTCCTATGTACATAGTAAATAAAATGGCCCTTGCACTTATTCTCATAATGGGAGAAGACAGCATACAAGTAAGCAAAGAAATATATGGTAACAAAATAGGGAAAACGCTTTAGAAGCAACAAAGTGCTGTGATAGAAAATAACCATGGATATCTAATTCAATAGAGTAACATCTATCTGAGAATGTAAGATTTAAACTGAGACTTGAAGGGTGCCATAGAGTTGGTCATTGCAAAAGCATAAAGCAGAGGGTTTAAAACAGATACTACTGTGTATTCAGAAGCTCTCAGGTAGGAAAGACCTTAGTGTGTTCTGAGGTTTATAGATCATTGTGTTCAGAGTGTAGCAAATGAAGAGAGAGAATGACCTCAGATGAAGTTGGAGAGGCAGGCGGGGCCAACTCATGGAGAATCTTATCGGTCATAGTAAGGAGTTTACATTTTATCTTGAGAGTAATAGAAAGCCACTGAAAAGTTTTAAGTGAGGTTGTGACCTAATCTTACTTACGTTTTAGAAATATAAATTTTGGCTGCCCTGTGGTAGCTGGTGGAGGGCGTGTTAAGAGAAGGCAGTGAGATTAGCTAGGAAACTGTTAACAGCAGTTCAGGAGAGAGGCTGGTAGCTTGAAAGAACATGGTAGCCTGGAAAAGAGTAGATGGATTTTGTTTTCTGGAGATAAGAGTCCGTGAGACTTACTCATAATTTTGGAAAGAAGATGGTATCAAGGTTGACCTCAGTTTTTGCCTTGAGTAACTTAGGATTTGCTGGTCCATTTATTGAGATGGGGGAGAGTAGTGTCAAAGGGGATTGTTGGGAGTGGAAGACAGAGAGTTCAGGTCTGGGATTTTAACATGTTAAGGTTAAAGGTTAACATGTTAAGGTTAAGATAAGTTTAAGTTATCTATGAGATATCCAAGAAGTGATGTCCAATAGGAAGTTCAGTGTAGCAGTCTGAACTCAAGAGGAGAGGTCTCTATTGGAGCAACAAGTTCAGGAGTCCTCAACATATAGTTGGTCCTGAAGCCGTGAGGATGCTGAGACCATCTGGTGCAATGGTTCTTAATCTAGGGTCCAGGAACCCACAGGGATTCGCTGATAGAATTCAGTGTCCATGAACTTGGTTGGGAAAGATTTTTCTTATTTTTACTAATGTGTAGCTGAAATTTAGCACTTCCTTTAATTTTGAATATAGGCTCAAACCACAGTATTATTAATATTTGAAGTTTTGTCACCAACAGAAATCAAGATATTTTCATATTATGATTGTTGCTGATATCTCAAAATAACATTTATATTTATCACTACTTCAGGATTATAGTACAGTTCTTAAACACACAACTAGGTCTTGTTTTTTAATGTATTAACAATGCATCAATAAGTAAGCACATGTCATCATTTTTTAATATTTTGAAAACTGTTACAGTAGAATGGGGCTTTTTGTAATCTTTCATTATTTACATTACATCTTTAAAAAATTATTTCGAGAAGAGTCCATAGGCTTCATTAGAGGCTGGAAGGATCCACGGTGTGTTAAAGGAAAAGAGACTTTGATTATGAGACTGGAGAATGAGAAGAGAAGGAGCTCAGGAGAGAGCCCCAAGGTTGGTTGGTGGAGGGAAGGCCAATAGAGGAGACTTGGAAGTTTTGAGAGGGGAGGAAACCCATCACTCTGTCGTGGGAGCCAGGAAGTAAGTAATTGCAGACAGTGGGCAGCTGTGTCAGGTGGGCAGGGGTTTGGGTTTGATGTCATGATGTGACTGGTGATCTTGGTAGGCAGTTTGACTGAAGTGGGTCGAAAGGTGAATGGGCGATAAGAGCATTGTCCAGAGACTGGCAAACTTTTTCTGTTAAAGGGCCAGATAGTAGATATTTTTGGCTTCACAGGCAAGTTGGTCTCTTGTCACAACCTCTGCTTTGTAGTGTGAAAGCAAGTCATAGATAATACATGAATGAATGAGTAAAGCTGTGTTCCAGTGAAACTTTATTTACAAAAACAGATGGCGAGCTAGATTTGACCCACTGGCCATAGTTTACCAAGCCCTAGCACAGACAGCTCTTTGGAGAAGTTGGACCAGAAGTAAAGTAGAAAATTGAAATAATTGAAGGGGAACAAAGAGTACATGAATGTGTTTGTGTCTGTTTTAAGGTGGGAGATGCTAGAACATATTTTTTGGAAAGGATACTGTGGAGTAGGGGAGGCTAATGGTACAGAAAAGAGATTCAGCATAGAAATAAACTACTAAATAGGCCAGAGGGAGTAGGAGTAGGATTAACAGTACACAGAAACTTAAGTTGATTTTTTGTGCCTTGTTATTACATTGAGTGATGTGAATATCAGTGTTAACAAGACTGATAAAGGGAGCCTGTCCCTGTATGTGGTGTTCTGCTTATAGGACCATTTAACGTGATGAACTTGGCCTAGAGGAGAGTCAAGTGAGAGGAGGGGAGAATGTATTACTTGTTAGATTTGGGTTTTAATTTGGGACGTCGTTGGATTGGCTTGACCTGAATCAATAAATGTAGCTACATTTATTTTTTTTGCAGATATTTTAAAGACCCTAACTCTTGATTCTGTGAGCTGACAAGCCCTAGGAGTTGCAAAAAAACCTTCTAGCTCAGTATTCCTGTTCTGTTTTTCTACCACACTTTACTTGGTATGTTCCTGTCAGTTAACTAGAGCTCACTTTGGCAGTTATTACACTGAGGAGGAGAGAGGAGGGTAGGCCTCTATTTCACCACTCCTCTGCCTCGCCCCCCACTACTGAGTCATTGTTCTAGACCTTTCTTGGATACTTTAATTCAAGATTTTAAAGGGCATGTTTGTTCTTTTCCCTCAATCAGTTTAGGCATCTTAATGATCTCAAGCACATTTCCCTCCTCAGAGGTTTTCCTTACTGTAGAAATGCTTTTCCTTTTGCAGACCCCAGTATAGAAGAAGGATCTTCAACATATTAAATCAGTACATATTTTCATGGTGAGCACAGACAGTAATCCAGGCAGTGGATTCTTTCACAGCTTTTTATGGTCATTGACTAGGCTACATCGAAAAGAGTTACAGAGGACTTAGGCAGTCCTGTCTGCTGTGTGAGCCTCTTACAACACAAACCTGCTTTCTGAAAATGGTCTGTCACCTGTATTGAAAATGTTTACCACCAGAATTGGGGCTTATGGACTGAAGAGGGTTATCCTCTGTGATCACGCTCACATTGCTGACTAACTTTTAAGATTGGAAGAAATTAGAGCCCTTAATGCATCCACATTATAGAATTTCTGTTTGACTTTTTAAATTATTTTTACACAAAATTAATACTTGTTCATGATTAAAACAGTTTGTTTTCAAACCATACAGCAAGGGAAATATTAAAGTGAAAAGAAAATGCCCATCCACCAGAGGTGATCACTGTTCCGTTTCTTGTGTGTTTATTAAGAAAATATCCCCATGCGAGCACATGGGCTCATGTCTTTATCCTTTTCCTTAGCGCCTGAATGAGATCTTACAGCGTAGTCTTCTCTACAACTTGCTTCTTAGCAGTATCTTTACATATCAGGACACTGACCCATCGTCTCATTCTGCTTCAGAGCTGTTTCGTTACCCGGAGCAGTCTTATCCTAGATATCTTCATGGCTCACTCTTCCAGTCCTTACTTAAATGTCGCCTTTTCAGTGATGCCTTCCTTAGCTGCCCTATCTAAAATCTCAATCCCTTCCCTGTCACTTATTTCCCTTCCCTATTAATGACTTTTTCCCAGCACTAATTATCTGTATACTCTTTGTTTGGTTTATTGTCTGTTCCCCCACTGTCACGTATATACTCTGTGGTGGGGAGGAATTTGACTGTGACATTCACTGCCAGGTCCCCAGCCTTTACAATAATGCCTGACCCTGTAGTAGATGCTCAATAAATGTTTGTTGAATGAAAGAGTGAATGATTATGTTGTTTTTCCACATCTGGGTCCACCATAATTTATTAAGTAATCCTCTACTGATGGCCATTTAGGTTTTCAGTTTGCCTTTCTTTTATGAACAATGCTATATTGAATAATCTTATTCATATATTTTTGTATTATTGTAGGATAAATTTATAGAGATGGAATTGTGAGTTTAAATGGTATACACATTTTAAATTTTGAATACTTGTCTCCTACACCCACCCCTTCCTACCCCAAGGAAAAAGGTATTATCACATTACAGTCCTGCTAGGAGTGTGTAAGGACACCTGTTTCTCTATGTCTTTACCTATGTTGGTTGTAATCCAGTTTTAAGCCTTTGCCAGTCTGATAGATGAGAAATGATAGCTCATCTTAATTTGAGTTTCTTTCATTTCTAAGTAAAATTGAGTACCATTTTATTTAATTATTTACCTCTTTCATTTACTTTTATGCATATTTTTCCTTTTGTTCTTTTAGATTGCTGTTTGTGTTTTGCCAGTGCATCTTTGTCTGCTTTTGTACAACTCCTCTCTCTAGACTGCAATCTGATATAACCCGGAGAACAGTATACCTCCGGGTCACAGCTATTCTCTGCCTGGAAAATTTCTAACCCTGGTGTTAACATCTTCCTCTCTTTTTCTTGCTCACATCTTTATTTATTATGATAGTAAAAACAATTGTATATAAGGCAGATGTTGGCCATGTGCTAGGCACTGTGCTCAGCACTTTATTTATTTTTAAACTCTGTTTGGTGCCATAGCAACCGTTTCAGGTAGTACTAGTTTGTCTCTGCGTGTATAATTTATAGAGAGAGAGCAACTGGGGGATGGTGCTGGAGGTCACACAGCTGGTAGATAAGTGGTTAAAACCAGGATCTGAACCTAAGCAGGGTGGCTCCAGAGCCTGTCCTCCTAACCATTAAGCTCTCTTGCCTCCAGTGTGGGCAGCAGGTTGTGTTATTCATTCTGTTTTCAGGAGACCCTTCTGCCCATATGTCCCCTTTCAGAAAACTGACTACAGTTACTGAAAGACGAGAAGGGTGTTCATGTTCAGGTCTAGAAGTTTTATAAACTCGTTTTATTTATTTATTTTGGCTGTGCTGGGTCTTCATTGCTATGCACGGGCTACTCTCTAGTTGTGGTGCAGTCTTCTCATTTCTGTGGTTTCTCTTGGAAAGCACAAGCTCAGTAGTTGTGGTTCATAGGCCTAGTAACTCCACAGCATGTGGGATCTTAGACCAGGGATCAAACCCATGTCCCTGCATTGGCAGGTGGATTCCTAACTACCAGACCACCAGGGAAATCCTTTATGAACTAGTTTTCATTACATGGTTCAAAATCAAAATAATTTTTTTAAAAAGGTACATAGATTTTTCACTCCCACTCTTGCCTCATGCACTCTATTTCCCCTGCCCTCTACTCTTGTTAGTTTCTGTATATACTTCCTGTGTTACTATGTATACTTATAGGCAGAATCTGGAATCAGCCTGCTGGCACTGAATTCTGAGCCCTCCACTTCTGGCTGTGACAAGTTACTCAAATTCTGTTTGTTTTCACCATTCCCAAGTAAACATCATAAATGTTAGAGCTTATGAGTTGATTCAGTTTATTTTTCCCACTGAGCTTTACAGTCAAGGACAAGAACTGAAAGAGGAAGTCTAGCACTTAACGTTTCTCTAAGCAGTTTTCATCAGAGACCATAATGCATCTATTACACATAATGCACATGTGCACATATTACACATATAATGTTCACATATAACATATATACTCTCCGAGCATCCCAGTGCTTAATCTGGTGTGAGGGCTATCCTTCTACAAAGGAACATGAATCCCAAAGAAAATAAGCCAACATCAAAGATCACACAGATCTAGGAGTAGTGATAGAACGTGGGTTTTCTCAGCCTCCTGCCCTTGGCTGCCAAACTGTTCACTGAAGAATGCTTTGTGACAGAGGGCTTTTCCTTTGGAAGCCTGTTACTGTCACAACCAGAAAAGAATTTCTTTGGAGGAGTATTTTTGGGCACAGGCTAGGATTTTCTCCCCTCCGTAGTTTTTGTTGTAGGCGTCTGGTGCTGCTGCACGCCCGAGTTGGGAGAAGAGCAATTCTGTGGCTCTTTACGGGTCTGAGGGTGAGTGGGGGAGGCGGCCTGTTACCCTGCGTACCTGGAACCTGTCCGATAGCCGCTCCAGGGTGAGGGAGTTGCACTGCTTCAGAGTCTTTGGGACATTTTCGTGTCTTCTTTGCATCACCATCAATCTGTTCTGTTCCCTTAGGCTCTTTATTGAGAAACTACCAAAGCATCGAGATTACAAATCGGCTGTCATTCCTGAAAAGAAAGACACAGTAAAGGTGGGTCTTCGCTTTCATTCTTGCCCATCTAGAGGCTTCAAAGAAGCACAGACTATCTTCCTGATATAAGTAGCAGAGTCTGCATCTGAATGTCACGTCCTGCAAATAGGAGATAAGGCCATTTCAATAGATCAGTTATGAAATACCAGGTACGGTATGGCAGGGGTAATTTAAATTACATTATTTAAATGTTTTTAGAAGTGTTGTTGCCATTGCCAACTTGACTTAAGTCTTTTTACTTAATTGGCAACCATTGTCCTAACTCTCAGATTTTGATTTTGTACCCCAGAAATTAAAGGAGATTGCATTTCCCAAAGCAGAAGAACTGAAGGCAGAACTGTTAAAACGATATACCAAAGAATATTTAGAATATAATGAAGAAAAAGTGAGTATGTATTAGCAAAAAAAGGAAATTATTTTGGTTTCTTAGGCTGTGCTGTAGGAGTCTAGTAGGTATTTCAGCGGATCTTGTGATTTCATTGTGATATTTTATATTTTTGGCAAAATCCAGAAAAAGTGTTGAGGCTGAGGATTCTAATACAGGTTAATCTCTTTATCTAAGAGGATGACTTGAGGGACAGAAAACCTATTGCTTGTCTGTTATGTCTAGAGCTAGAACCTAAGAACAAAGAAAGTTCTCACTAAAGTATAGGGTTTTTAGATCAGAGAATTTGGGGATTCACATTTGATTATATCCAAAACAGGCTATACCTGTTTATAATAATCAAATTTTTTCAAGCTATTAATATTTTCAAATGATTTCTTGTTAGGAAGAGTCAGTTAAAACATGTGAGAAGCCCTGAGGCAGTGTCCCTGGTCTGTGTCAGGTGGGAACACACACTGCTAGCACTTTAGCACTCTTTTGTATACTCTACTGAACTCTATTCTGGACTCTGATGTCGAAAATCAGCTGAGACGTAAACAGCTGTATATTTCTAAGGTACCCAGTGAGTGAAAATCTTCATGGAGGAAACTGTTACTTGATGTTTTCCTTTTTTTTTTTAATATAAATTTATTTATTTTAATTGGAGGCTAATTGCTTTACAATATTGTAGTGGTTTTGCCATACATTGACATGAATCCACCATGGGTGTACATGTGTTCCCCATCCTGATGTTTTCTAATAGTTTAAAATGTCACTCTGTATTTTACCTATCACCATAAGAATTTCAGAGGCTTCATTCAGTGTTAAAATTCAATACAGACCCCCTAAGTTTGGATCTGGTTCTTTTCCACAGCCCTCCTTGGGATACAGGATGTATACGTGGCACACCTAGAGACTAAAATTGCATATGATACAGATTATGAGGTGCAGGCAGTATGTTGCATTGAGACTTTGGTAAAGAAGAAAATGCATGAGTTAGAGTTACTGGGAAAGGGTACCGAGAGGATCAGGACTTTAGCTGTCCTTGAAGAACAGGTGTACGGCGGTTAGACCGATGGAGGGGTGACCGTTCTGTGGGGGTAGAGGCCCTGAGGGGAGCATGGATTCTGTGTTTGGAAACCAGGCCAGGACAGGAGTGCATTTGGGGGCAGTCTCCCTGCTGAAAGGCTTTGTCCTTCTAAGGTGTGAAGTTCCTTGTGTGAAGTGTTAGTGCTAACTCCTCTTTGTCCTTTGTAGAAGAAGGAAGCGGAAGAATTTGCCCGCAGTGTAGCCATGCAGGAGGAGCTGGAAAAGGAAAGACAGAGGGTGGCACAGCAGAAGCAGCAGCAGCTGGAGCAGGAGCAGTTCCACGCCTTCGAGGAGATGATCCGGAACCAGGAGCTAGAAAAGGAACGGCTGAAGATTGTGCAGGAGTTTGGGAAGGTGGACCCTGGCCTGGGTGGCCCACTGGTACCTGGCTTGGAGAAACCCTCCCTAGACGTGTTCCCCACGGTGCCCGTTATATCCACACAGCCTTCGGACTGTAATACAACTGTGAGGCTTGCCAAGCCACCAGTAGTGGACAGATCCTTGAAACCTGGAGCATTGAACAACTTGGAAGGTAGTGAATTCATTTGCTCGAATCCTCTTCCATCTCAGCTGCAGCCAAATAGGGTGTCATTCCAAGGGATTCAGACTACGACTATCTGCCTGATCCCACTCATTAGGCTCTGGTCACAGAAATCCATTTGATCAATATTATCATACTGTGTTCTATTACAGCTGTGTTATAAAGTGGCCTTTGCTTAAGCCATATAATTTACCTGGGCTCGGTTGATTTTCTGAAGAGCTAATAAAATCCTTGAAAGTCAGACTCTCAGCTTTTAAGGGTTACATAGAGATTTGAAATGTTCAGTGAACTAGAGACCACTGTTAACCTTTTGTAAAGGAAGTTTGAGATTTATAGTAACACTTTAAAATTCAACAACTGACTTAAAAATAAAAGCTACTGAACTGTGTTTGCCTTGCAAATATTCCTAATTGGTAAGGAGCTTAGTCAAGGTAAATATTCTGTGTAGTCAGTGGTAATTCAGTCTAGCCATAAAAACTATTGAGTCTTTCCTCCTCTCACCAATGAATGGTTACCCGAGAAAATAACAGTAGCAGCAAAATGATGAGTATGCCTTGATGATTAGAATAGAGCTTTTTGTTAGGAATTGTCTTTCAAGTAGTCATGTAAGTAATTCAGCTTTCCAGAAGATCTACTTAAAAGGACAAGGTAAGAGTGGGCAAGAGGTGTTAGACTGAAGCTTTCAGGATTTCTCCCCATGCACTCAGCAGGGTTGCCTCTCACTATTATTCCTGAATAGCTCAGAAACTTAAGTAGTAGTTTCTCTTTGTCTTCACTTGAATGATTAAAGCCTCTTCTCTTTTCTTGAAACAACATACTCCTGATGGCTGTGGTCAGAGGTTGGCGAAGAGCCTTTGCAGCCCTTTCTCTTCTGCCATTAGGATGAGATCCCCACTTAGGGCCTGCAGTTGGGGGGACCCCAGTGGTTTGGCATTGGTCTCCTAGGGCTGCCAACTCTGAGGTCTGCTTGGGGAGGCTGTGCTTCATGGCCTTAGATTCTTTTTTTTCTTGCGCACAGCTCCTGCAATCGATGGATTGCGCCACGTGGTGGTACCCGGGAAGCTCTGCCCGCAGTTCCTTCAGTTGGCCAGTGCCAACACTGCCCGGGGAGTGGAGACGTGTGGGATTCTCTGTGGAAAACTGGTAAAAAACAAAAACAAGTGCTTTCTAGAGCCTAGACTGTTTCTTCACCCTTGGCCTCCTGTGACTCTCAGAGAAGATATCCAGGGTCAGTTACTCTTTGTACAGTTGCCTCTGCTGAAGGAGCCATGAGCAGCAAAATGCAGTGTCACCTTAAATTTAGTGACCCTGGATTTGATTGATTGTCAGAGTCCCTTGAATTTAACTGAGTATTTTAATGCTGGTAATAAATACTTAATTCTAAACTTGGTAGGAAGATCCCGTGTTCAGCTTTGAACACCTGCTTTATGGTAGATCATCAGAATATGAAATATGTAAGGCAGATAGCATCTGTCCACAAAAAGTATCCAAGCACTTTAGAGAGATGGGAGATACACACCAAAAGATAGTTTGCTGACTAGCATGTACAATAAAAGCACTGGGAATTATGGGGAAAGAAGGATCATTAAATGGAGGTGCTTAAAGAACTCATTACTAACTGCTGAATAAATAAATGAGTAAAGTGGAATAGACTTAAACTGACCCTTAGAGGTTGGGAAGGGCTTAGAGAAACAGTGAAAGGGAACTACTCTAGACATGAATAAAGGAAGAGAAATGGTACGATACCCAGAGCTTCTTAAGTTTCATGAGTAGACCTGTTTGGCTGCAGCAGGAAATTCCCACAGGGCTGTGGGCGTCTGTGGCCTTGCAGAGGCCCCAGGCAGTGTACTTGGGCAGTAAGAGGTGTGAGCAAGACTGACGTGAGGGACTCACCTCATGAAGAAGACTCAGGCTGGGAGCAGGACCTTTGCTTGTTTGGAAGTTTAGCTTCCCACTGCTGTGACAGAGAGGGTTGCCTCCATACCGGGGAGTTGTGATGAGCTGTTCTCTAATTTGACAGATGAGGAACGAGTTTACCATCACCCATGTTCTCATCCCCAAGCAAAGCGCTGGGTCTGATTATTGCAACACCGAGAATGAAGAGGAGCTTTTCCTCATACAGGATCAGCAGGGTCTCATCACACTGGGCTGGATTCACGTAAGCAGTTCTGAGCCCTCCAGGGGTTTGTCTCCTCACATGATGCTATAGGCGCACTGCTTGTTCTTTTCTTAAAGCAGAGTGAATTGTATCCAGACTGTTCAGATGGTTGTATTTCCCTCTGTTGAATATAGGCTTGACCTCCTTAGCATACTTAACTGCTTGCACTCCAGTATTGATTTCTGGGAGCTCCTTGGGCTTTTCATTTCTAAAAGATGCTATTATTTATTATATTTTTAAGAGATGTATATGTTTGTTTTGGGCTGTGCTGGGTCTTCAGCACTCATGCAGGCCTTCTCTAGTTGTAGTGCATGGACCTCTCACTGTGGTGGCTTCTCTTGTGGACCATGGGCTCTGGTACATGGGCTTCAGTAGTAGCAGCACTCAGGCTCAGCAGTTGTGGCACCCAAGCTTAGTTGCCCTGCAGGTCTTCCCAGATCTGGGATCGAACCCATTCCCCCTGCATCGGCAGGCAGATTCTTCCACTGGACCACCAGGGAAGCCCAGAACTTTTTAATTAAAATAATTTCTTAATAGAAATTAAATTCTTCCTCCAAAGTCCCAATTTCCCTATGAGCATGAATGTTGTTAGGATTCTAGCTGAGAGTGTATGTGAGCCTTGACCATAGAGGTTATGCTTTACTTCATACAAATGATGTTCTTGAAAGGTGTACAGATCAAAGTATTTAAAATGAACCAAGGAAGTTAATTCAGATACTTGCATTTCATCTTTCTTAAAACAACCTATGAAAGAAAGTGAAAATGTTAGTTGCTCAGTCGTCTCTGACTCTTTGCAACCCCACAGACTGTAGCCTGCCAGGCTCCTCTGTCCATGGAATTCTTCAGGCACAAATACTGGAGTGGGTAGCCGTTCCCTTCTCCAGGGGATCTTCCCAACCCAGGGATTGAACCCAGGTCTCGCGCATTGCAGGCAGATTCTTTACCATTTGAGCCATCAGGGAAGCCCAAACAACCTATAGTTAGTTCATAGTTCATTCTCTCAGTTGTATCCGACTCTTTGCGACCCCATGAATCACAGCACACCAGGCCTCCCTGTCCATCACCAACTCTCAGAGTTTACTCAAACTCATGCCCATCGAGTTGGTGATGCCATCCAGCCACCTCATCCTCTGTTGTCCCCTTCTCCTTCTGCCCCCAATCCCTCCCAGCATCAGGATCTTTTTCCAATGAGTCAACTCTTCTCATGAGGTGGCCAAAGTACTGGAGTTTCAGCTTCATCATCAGTCCTTCCAATGAACACAAAGGACTGATCTCCTTTAGGATGGACTGGTTGGATCTCCTTGCAGTCCAAGGGACTCTCAAGAGTCTTCAACACCACAGTTCAAAAGCATCAGTTTTTCAACGCTCAGCTTTCTTCACTGTCCAACTCTCACATCCATACATGACCACTGGAAAAACCATAGCCTTGACCAGACAGACCTTTGTTGGCAAAGTAGTGTCTCTGCTTTTTCATATGCTGTCTAGGTTGGTCATAACTTTCCTTCCAAGGAGTAAGCATCTTTTAATTTCATGGCTGCAGTCACCATCTGCAGTGATTTTGGAGCCCCAAAAAATAAAGTCTGACACTGTTTCCACTGTCTCCCCATCTATTTCCCATGAGGTGATGGGACCAGATGCCATGATCTTAGTTTTCTGAATGTTAAGCTTTAAGCCAACCTTTATGTAAATCAGAAGGGCTATCAAAATAGAAAATTTTTAAGTATCTGCATATTCCAACAATCTTCTGGTACTACTCAAGTAAAATATTATTCCATCCCTAACGATTACATTTTAATTTTTCTTTTTATTCTTTTTCAGCCCCTCATTCTCATAGACCAAGCTGTTTTTTACATTGTGTGACAGGGTTCCACACAAACAAGGCAGCTTATTTCTGGATTTGGGAAGATTGCACATACTTGTATATTGGCATTGGGGAAATACTGATTTATGAGGCAGTTCCATGTGCCTCTGTCCTTTTGTAAATACTTGCCTTCTATTGTGTATCCCCCATTATAGATACATGGGGGATAGAAAACCTGTGTCTTATCTACCAGGGGATACAATTTGAGTAAGATATGATTTTAGTCTAATAGAGGAGATTGACATATAGACAAGTCATTAACTCCTTATGTGAAGCAGAATATGCCTAGTGCCTTAAGAGATGCCCTGTAGAATTTAGAGGAGGGAAGGATCACAGCTGGAGTGATGCACTAGATTTGTGGCAGGGTGGGTTGCATATGGAGGGGACAACAGTGGAATAGGCAGACTGGAATCCTGGAGCATTGAGTGGTCCAGTTTTCTGGGGCTTAGAGTTCATATCAGGAAACAGTAATAGGTAAGTTTTCACATAATACATTAGGAGTGGTATTTTGGGTGGATGGGCAGGATAGTTCTTTTTTTTAGTGAGTAGGATGAGGCAGGGAGCTGATTTAAGAGGTTAATGTGATGATTAAAATGTAATAATGAAGAGAGCCAGGGTGATGGCAGTGCACTTGGGAAAAAAAGAGACAAACGTAGGATTTCAGAGGATGTGGGGAATGAGTCAGAGAGGATGATGAGTAAATGTGATGACTTAGAAATTTCAGGCCTGACTCATGGAAGTGGCAATGATCAATCATCTCATAAGGAGAAACAGAGGTTCCAGCAAGAGAACTTACTTGGAAGTGGGGCAGATGTTGTCTTCAGTTCTGAGTATATTGAATTTAAGATACCGGTAAGACATTGGGCTTCCCCGGTGGCTCAGGTGGTAAAGAATCTGCCTGCAATGTGGGAGACCTGGGTTTGACCCCTGAGTCGGGAAGATCCCCTGGAGAAGGGAATGGCAACCCACTCCTATATTCTTGCTTGGAGAATCCCATGGACAGAGGAGCCTGGAGGGCTACAATCCATGGGGTTGCAAAGAGTCGGACACGACTGACTTTCACTTTTTTTCTTTTTTAAGACATTATATCAGTAGAGGTAGTTATCAGGCAGTTTGAACTTGAAAACAAGGTCAAGGTGGGAAAGAGAACCAGGAGACCTCTACGTAGAGCTGACCTTGGAGGCTTTGGAACTGGGGGAGGGTGGAAAACAAGAAGAAATTAACTTGCAGCTGAAAGCCCAGCCACCTCGGGGAGCATAGGGAGTAGTTAGTCATGAAGCACAGAGATGTCAGAGAAAGGTGAGGTAGCATTGGGCCATAGGTGCCAAAGGAGGAGCAATGTCTCAGAAGGAAACTTCAGGGTGTTCACTGTGTCACATGCTGCAGAGAGCTCCAGAATGATGAATACTTGTGTGAGCTGGTTGGACTTGCTGAGTCATTGATGACCTCAGTCTAGTGGGTTTTAAGCAGTGGTGGGAATAGATTTAAAAGGTTTAAGAAGTAATGGGTATTGAGGTTGTGGTGATGGTGAAACGTACATGAATTTTTTGAAGAGCTTAGCACTAACTAGAGGAAAGGAAAGAGATTGAATAGTGGCTTAAGGAATAGCCAGGTGGAGAGAATGTTTGCTTGATTTATGGTTTAGTGTATGAAAATGTGTTGTTTTTTTTTAAATTTTCTTGCAACCTTTATATTTGAAATATATATAAGAAAGTATTATATAAACTAAATGTATACTTTAATGAATCATTAAACAAACATATATGTGTACACATTACCTAGGTTAAGAAATAGCGCATTGCCAGAAACATACTCCTACCCCATGTTCCTGCCCATTCACCCTTCCTCTCTGGTACAGGTAATCCCTCTCTTGATTTCTTTTGAAATTCTTTGCTTTCTTTATAGCTTTACCACCTTAGTGTGTGTCCCTAAACTCAATAGTTTACTTTTTCCTGGGTTTGAACCTTACATGAGTGCATGTGTTGAACCTTACATGCGCGCGTGTGTGCTCAGTCACATCCAGTTCTTTGTGACCCCATGGACTATAACCCGCCAGGCTCTTCTGTCCATGGGCTTCTCCTAGCAAGAATACTGGAGTGGTTTGCCATTTCCTCCTCCAGGGATCTTCCTGAACCTATGCGCCACCAGGGAAGCCCTTTTGAACTTTACATAAATAGAATTATATAATATGTATTCTTTTGTATTCAGCTTCTTTTGCTCAGTGTCTTTAAATTTCATCTAAGTTCTTGTGTATAGTTGTCTGAGCATGTTTTTAAGCCCAGTGAGTGGGTGATACAGTGGAACCTGTGAATGAGATGTAAAAGGACAGGAGAGACAAGATAATGTGGAGGTAGGGAGGTATTAAATCAAAAGTACAAAGAGGGTGTCATCTTCATATTAGGGAGAAAACACTCCTCTACAGCAGAATTGAAGGAAGAAAGTTAAAGAGAGATTTTCAAGGTTATAATTGGAGGTGTTGAGGGAACTCATTTTAGATGATCTTTCAATGAGGTTGAAGTCTAGTTCCAGTGCCCAACAGGAGGAGTCAGGAGAGTTTAAGAACTGGACAAGATGAGGGAAAGTTGGGAATAATTACTGCTTAGACTTTAGGTACATCTTAGCTACAAGTGAGTAAAAGTATTTTTAATATCAGTGAGGGCCTAGCTAGGAAGAAATTTAGGACTTAAATTGATAGTATTCCAGCTTTTTTTCCCCCCATGATATTTCTGTACCATTTCTTCCTAACTCGGGATTAAAAGCAAACCAAAACAGACTGTAATGTTTGCTCAGATCTTAAAGTTGGCAAGAGTAGAATACAAAAGGTCCATTCTTCCTTCTGTACCATGCCAGCTATGAATCAGGTTCCCGGTCAGAATCTTTGAATTTTTTTTGGCTGCGCTGGGTCTTCATTGCTGTGCAGGCTCTTCTCTAGATGTGGCAAGCAGGGGCTGCCCTCTGGTTGCAGTCCGTGAGCTTCTCACTGCGGCGGCTTCTCTTATAGTTGCAGCATGTGGGCCCAGGAGTTTGGGCTGCCAGGCCCTGGAGCACAGGCTCAGTAGTTCTGCTGCACGGGCTTAACTGCATGTGGGATCTTCCCAGAACAGTGATTGAACCCACTACTCCTGCATTGGCAGGCAGATTCTTTACCATTGAGCCACCAGGAAGCCCCCCTCATCAGAAACTTTGTATGGTCATGTTTATCACCAACTGTTGTGTAACCCCCAACTCAGCATTCAAGGCGCTGCTTCACCTTGTCTCAGCCCTGCCTTAGCTGGCATTGTTCTCTGTGGACACTCTGCCCATCTGAACACCCAGGCTGCCCTCCGCATTCACTTTCCTCACTCTTTTCTGTTCCTTTGGTGTATTGTTTTTGGTTTTTTCATAAAAATGTCTTCCTGTGTCTCCAGCATGTGGGCACAGTGGGCATAACTTTTTTTCAAGAAACTCAACTGTGAAGGGAAGGAGAGAAGGCATAGTAGTTAGAGGGGAGCAGAGGCTCAAACAAGATTTTTTGGTTTAGTTATTTATTGAGGCCCTGCTGTATGTCTTTATATCGTCTTTCTAGCTAACCCAGCTTTAGATTAGAGACCTTCATCAACTTGTGTAGACCTTGTTTGTTCTCAGTGAAAATTTCAAGCTCTAACCATGGGATGAAAGGTGTTGACACAGGCCATAGGTTCCTAAAAGTCCATGGAATCGTATTCTTATTGGTAGAAACTGTTCTCCCTTGTGGTCATAAAAGTCCTTTCCTGCCCGTGCAGACATGTGTGTGGATTTGCTGTCAGGACTCAGCTAACTTGTTCCTGTGTTGTGGACTTCTTCCACAGTGAGCTGGTCACAGTGTTTTGTGCAGTCATGCTTCTCGGATGAGGCTACACATAAGAATTATTTAATGAGCTTTAAAAAAAATATTTTTTTCCTTCTCAAGATGGATATTTCCAGGGTGGGGTGCAGGAACTTGTGCTTTTGACAAGTTCCCTTAGGAGCTTCATTTTTTGTACAACAGAGTTAAAAACACTGGTCAAGTGTGCATATTTATTTTCTATGCTTTTAAGTCAGTAAAGATTGGTGTTCTTTTTGAGTCATATTTGGTCTTTTCTTTTTCCATCCTTGTTATCTAACATCATAGCCCCTCTGAGATAAGTCACTATATAGTGTTCATTTGTATACAAAGACAGTGTTCAGTAAAACATTAAATAACTGGCGAATTTCAGTGGTTAGGACTTGGCACTTCTAGTGCCATAGCCCAGGTTCCCTCCCTAGTTGAGAAACTAAAATCCCACAAGCCACGCAGCACAGCCAAAAAAACAAAATTAAAAAACTGAAAACAAATGAGATAAACTGAATGAAATTTATATGGTGCTTTAACTGATTACTTTCAAATTTCAACATCTTGGTCTTTTTCTCAAATAAGACAGAGTCCTTATGATTTAACCACCCTCTGAAATCTCAGTCACCCTCTGCCTCTCATATCCTTGAATGATATGTTTTAACCGCAGGACAGCTTTTGCCACTTTTGCTTATGGAGCCCCTCACTTGTGCCTGACTTTTAAACCCCTTTGTCAGGAAGAAGAATCATTCTTCTGTGGTTTGTTAAGTCCTTGACTTCTACCGGGTTGAAGTATTGGGTAGCATATACTGTCTATTCCAGTATGGGTGACTTTCCATCGTGTTGAGAGAGCTTGTGAGGAGCCAGATAGATCTTGATGGTCAATTAGAAATTATGAGTCTGCACATACTCATGTTAAATTACATTTGTTTACAATGCAGGGACAGAAGTTCATTCCTTATTAGGAACTTCAGGCATATTCCTCATGGCTGCTAATGACTATACTTAAGGAGATCATGGCAAGTTACTGAGGATTATTTGGCACTGCCTTCCTTCTTGGGGGGGCTTCCCTGGTGGCTCAGATGGTAAAGAATCTCCCTACAGTGTGGGAGACCCAGGTTCAATCCCTGGGTCAGGAAGATCCCTTGGAGAAGGGCATGGCCACACACTCCAGTATTCTTGCCTGGAGAATTCCTTGGATAGAGGAGCCTGGCAGGCTGCAGTCCATGGGGTTGCAAAGAGTTGGACATGATTGAGCAGCTAACACTTCACTTTCTTCATGGGCCAGGCTTGCCTGTGTATTCTCACTGGAGCTTTTTTTTCTCTTCTCAGACTCATCCCACGCAGACAGCCTTCCTCTCCAGTGTTGACCTCCACACTCACTGCTCCTACCAGATGATGTTGCCAGAGTCCATAGCCATTGTCTGTTCCCCCAAATTCCAGGAGTAAGTCCATAGGGTGTGGTTCAGGGGAAGAGCCTCAGAGGAAATCTTCTGTTCTTAAGACCTTGTTCTCTATCTAATCTATAGATTGTGGTATTTGATTGGCTTTTCTCAAGGCCTTCCTTTAAGTCCTGTAGCCTGATAAACCTACTCTGCTTGTTTACAAAAGTATCCAAGCAATAATGTAGGTGCTTTTATAAGAAAAAGATGTAAGAAGTTTGAAGTGTTTGCTTGAAGCAGTAGGAATTTCAAGAGATTGATGTCAGATTAGAGAATTTTCAGTATCCAACAGATTATCTCTGAAAATTAACTTTTTCATTTTAAACCCTGTTATTTACTATGAATTCTCCCAGTAAAACTGATGTGGTGGCAGTGATGAATCACTCTCTGATTCATTCACCAGAGAAGAGATCTGTAGGCCAGCAGACTTTTGAGGGTGTCTCAAAATGAGTTCTGCCCTGCCCAGTGTGTGTGTGTGATTGAAGGGGACACCTTTGCTTGATTCTGGACCTGCTTTTTCTTATTTCAGAACTGGATTCTTTAGACTCACTGACCATGGACTAGAGGAGATTTCTTCCTGTCGCCAGAAAGGATTTCATCCCCACAGCAAGGATCCACCCCTCTTCTGTGTATGTGTCCCTGTAGAGGAAGCCGCAGCTACGCTGTAACCAGGGAGCACAGTCAGAGCTGATGCGGCACAGTGTCCTTCACGGCCCACACAGATCAGCCTTGTCACTAATTTTTCTAAATCTTCCTACAAAGACATGTGTGGGAAGCAGTGTGGAACAGGAAGGGGTTTGAGTCTTAGCTCTGTTGCTTAAGGTTGTGATCGAGTTATTTAACCTTCCTGGGCCTCAGCTTTCTCACCTGTAAATGGAGATGATGATGATGATGATGATAATAATATATACTTTTATAGGGTTGTTGACAGGATTAAATGAAAGTGCCAAGTGCAGTAGCTTGCTTATTAAACATTAGGTTTTTTCCTTCATCATCATCAGTTGCTAAGCCTGCATTTCAATAAGAGATTTGAATTCAAAAGGAAAAAGCCATTTAAGATAGGTAAAGTATACTTAATTTTGGAATTTTGTTTTTAATTTGATTTTAGGTAATAGAGATTTTTATGACCTTCTTAGAAAGTTTTTCTCCCAGGTGGTAAAAGTTGGGGGTTTTTGGTAAATTGACAGCGGTGAAAAACTGTGGATAAAAAGCTGTAGTTGCTGATAAGTATGTTGCAGTTTTCTCCTCACATCTAATGAGATAGTACTGCCTCACTCCATGCTGACCATGGAGTATTATTATTTCTTTTGGGTTCACTGAAAAGAAACCAATGTGGAGAAGGGACTCCAGAGCCTTGTCACGTAAAAGAGACTAGGGATGTTTAGGAGAGAACCCCAGGGAGCATCTGAGAACTGACTATAAGTATTAGAAGAGCTGTTGTATAAAAAGGTCTCAGGTATTTCATATGACTCCCGGAACTAAAACTTAAGACCCTGTGAAAGTGCCAGTTTTCAGCTGAGTATGAGAAAGAAATTTCTGACAGATTTGCTCACAAATAGGAAGTCTGCCTTGGAATGTAATAAATGTCTAGGTACCAGGATGTTGAAACAGAGACTGCACAATCCCCCAGAAATGCCTAGGCTTTCAGTTAGGATGACCCCTTGCGCATGCCAAGAGGGAGTATTCCCCTTGTGAGAATAGGTGTACTTTATTGTTTGGTTGACATAATGACCTAGCATACTGCAATTAATTCAGCAGTTATTTAAAATAAATGTATATTTTATAAATGACTGTAGAATATACATACATTTGAAGAATAAATGGAGATATATAGGTCCATATTGATTCAGACTACAGACCTATTGATTCTGGGTTGGTGGAAACAATAATTCCCAGACCCCTTACCATAATTGCCATTTAAGTAACAGTCTGGCTGTCAGCTTGGGAACCACTGGCCAGAATGAGCATTTTAAGTATTTAAGCATTTGAAAGATGAATTTTCTGAATTTTCCAGGACTTTCCCTTTCTTTCTGTTTCCCTATTGCAGAGCTGCAACCACGTGACTGTTGTGGAGAGAGCTGTGACCATCACAGACCTTCGATGAGAGTTTGACTCAGACGCCTCCCAAGAATTGTAAAACCATATCAGTGTACTGTAGCCCCTTAATTTAAACTTTCCAGAAAGCTCTGGAAGCTTTTTAAAACAATAGGAAGTATTACCCAGGGGAGAACTGATTTTCTATTTCTGGTTTGAAAAGAAATAATCAAGTATGTTTTTTAGGCACATCTGGAAAATAGCATGGTCATGCTGAAGCAACTTTTCAGTCTGCCTGTAACTAAAAAATTAAGTTGAAAAACTGTGTAATGAAGACTCACATGTGCTTTGTTCAAGATTCACCAATTGTTAACATTTTTTCCCCTGTCACCTATCCTCCTAATTTCTTTGCCAATTTGTTTATTGTTTACCTTTGGACTAATTAAGAGCATCTATGCAGAAGCTTGGAAGCCATTTAAAAAATCTTTGGGTTTTTCTGTGGTTTATGGCAAGATTAATGAAGCTTATTATAAGGCTGAAGGTCAGCTTGCTATGTCTGACCAGATGGTGAGGCTCAAAAACCCTAAAGAATGATTTTGTCAGAAATTATTGTTATTTAACAAATATTTCGGGATATTTTTTCTTCTACAATAAAATAACAATTAACTTATATATATATATATATATATGTTGTGTGTGTGTGTGTGCTCTAGAATGATCTGTTGGATCAAGCATCGTCCAGACAGACAGGTTAACTAAAAGGTCTGGTTATTTGGGGAAAGGTGAGGGAAAAATAGAACTTTGAGATGTGTCAACATTGCAGGTATGTCCCAGTTTACTTTAAATTGTTCAGTCCTTTCATTCTGCCTCTTGCCATCTTCCAGAGATGTGAAGTCATCTTTGTTCTTTTGGTGCTGTCTCAAGTGGGTCATCCATTCACTTCCTCCTTATGCCCTAAAATCTTTCAGCTGAGGATAATAGTGCCTTTATTTGGAGTACCAAGTTACACTCCAAATAAATGATTATATTCCTATGCCACCACACCCTACTGGCTTTATTGTGTTGGTTATTCCTTTCTGACTTAAGCAACATGAAGGGAGATGTTTGAAGCTGTAGCTGATTCTGTATTTTTCCTATGAGCTGAGCCTAATGTTCTAAGGTGTCCTAGAAATTAATGGTATTGTTTGTGTCCCCTCAGAGGGCAGAAGAATAAATACCTTGGATAGGAGAATGATTTCTTTTTGTGTCAAAATTCTGTGGGGAAAAAAATTTACAACTGTCTGAAGCTTCATTTTAAAATTTTGTATCCTGAATATATTCATTCTTTATTACTTAGGTTTGTGGCCCTTGAACTTTTGCCCTGAAAGAGCCAAGTGTCTGTATTCATGTTCTCATACGTTCTTAACTCTAAAGATACTGGAAGTTCTCTTTTCTGCAGTTCAGAGTAGGTGGGAATGTAGGGCTAGGCGGGTCTGGGCAAGGGAAAGAGTATCTCTCTAGTCAGTACCCTCATTTCCCTGCTGCAGACCCACAGGCAGCCTGGTCCGCTTTGTCCTTACAGGCCCACAGCTGCCTGGCTCTGTACTTTGTAGGCAGTGCACGCCGCCTTTGCATTCTCAGGGCCGCTGTTTAGTTTATGATCTCTTACCCCTTACTTGGACTGTTTCAGTAGACTTCTTACTAGATTGTTTTCAGTGTTTCTTTTTTAATTTTTTTGGTGGCACTGTGTCTTTGTTACTGTGCACAGGCCTTCTCTAGTTGCTGCAAGTGAGGGCTACTCTTCAGGGCTGCTCTTCCTCGCGGCGTGCAGGCTTCTCTTCCTGAGCAGCACGGGCTCTGGGCACGCGGGCTTCAGTAGTTGCAGCACATGAACTCAGTAGTTGTGGCACACAGGCTTAGTTGCTCCATGGCATGTGGAATCTTCCTGGAGCAGGGATCAAACCGGTGTCCTCTGCATTGGCAAGGGGATTCTTAGCCACTGTACCACCAGGGAAGTCTTATTAGTGTTTTTTGACTCTAGTCTGTTCTGCCCAATACAGTCGGAAGAAGTTTCCCACATTACAGCCATCCTCGTGTTTTGTCACTTGCTCAAAAACCTACAGTAGCTTTCTGTTGCTTAAAATATAAATTTAGCCTTTATTGCAGAATTTCCCTATGGTCACATAAAGCTCTTACCCTTGGCCACACACACCTGGGAAGCTTTTTAAAGAGCCCTGATACCCATGCTTCACGCCCCACCAGTGAAATCCAGATCTCTGGAGTGAGACCTCAGACATTGTTTTTGTTTTTTGTCTTTTAAGCTGATAGGATTCTCAAGTACAGCCAGGGTTGAAAACCACTGTACTAGTCATTTATACCTAAGAGTCGAGTTCTCATCAGTCTCTGTACATCATAGACATTCAATGACTGTTCAGGACTGATCTCCTTTAGGATGGACTGGTTTGATCTCCTTGCTATCCAAGGGACTCTCAAGAGTCTTCTCCAACACCACGGTTTGAAAGCATCAATTCTTTGGTGCTCAGCCTTCTTTATGGTCCATTTCTCACATCTGTACCTGACTACTGGAAAAACCATAGCTTTGACTATACAGACCTTTGTTGGCAAAGTGTTGTCTCTTCTTTTTAATATTCTATCTGGATTTGTCATGGGTTTTCTTCCAAGGAGCAAGCATACTTTCACATACTCCTAATTAAATACCAAACCAGAGAGGAAGAAAAAAGCCTCTTAAACCTTATAATGCTCTCTTGGGTACCAGGCACTTTATGCGGGAAGCAATCCCTAGTGTGGCTGGTGTCATGATTGATATGTGTTGCTTGAGAGGCGGGGGTTTCAACTTTCACTTGGCACCTCAGAGTTTAAAATCGTAATGCTGGTCGCCTTTGATTGCTGTTCACTTCTGGGTTTCAGTTACCCCAGTGGAGGAAATTTTTTCATGTGGGGGAGAGTGCGGGCTTCGTAGTTGCGGCCCACAGGCTCAGTTGCTCTGTGGTATATGGAATCCTCTTAGACCAGGGATCAAACCCACGTCCACTGTATTGGCAGGTGGGTTCTCAGCCACTGGTCCACCAGGGAAGTCCCTAAGGCTCATTTCTTTTTGTGAGGAGCTTTGCTCGGGGCACTGAGAGCAGTGAGTTCCAGTGTTTGGAACACTGGAGCATTATCCTTTTGGGAGGAAGTACTAGACTGAACATGAAATATTTTGCTTCTAGGCCCAGATGTTCATTCACCAGCAAGTCACCTAACTTCCCAAACATCTTAAAATCTATAAAGTGGGATCAGTCTAATATACCTACCTCAAATGATAAAATGAACTCCATATGTAACTCTGACAGTTGTAAAGATGCTGTGAAGACTTAACATACTTACTATTTGTATCTCTGGAAGTCTTAGAGTTGAGGTGCCCTTGCTTCTACCGGTGAGAACTCTGCCTGCTTCAGGTTCCTGCTAGAGGACTCCTCAGACAGATTCACGTTGTTTATCACTAACTGGGCTTCAGCTCCAATTATCTTTTCTGGTCTGCTCTGATGTTCTGAACTGAAAAAACTGAAAACCTAAAGAACCAGAAGAAATGCTCCAAATTTCCTCTCATTTTCCCTGAGACTCAGAGCAGAGCCAGGACCTAAAGAGATGGCACCATATCTTTTACGTCTTGTTTTCACCCCCACTCTTTTTTAAAACTCGTTTTTAGTTGGAGGATAATTGCTTTGTTTTGTTGGTTTCTGCTATACAACAACATGAATCAACTATAAGTATAAATGTGTCCCCTCCTGAACCTCCCTCCCACCTCCCCCACCATCCCATCCCTCTAGGTTGTCACAGAGCCCTGAGCTGAGCTCCCCGTGGTATACAGCAGCTTCCCACTCACTCTCTGTTTCACACGTGGTATTGCATCTGTGTCAGTGATGCTGTCTGAGTTCATCTCCTCTCCTCCTTCCCCTACTATACCCACAGGTCCGTTGTTTGCATTTTTATTACTGCTCTGTAAATAGGTTCTCCTTTGCCTATTGAGGAGTACGTCAAGGCTATATATTGTCACCCTGCTTATTTATCTTACATGCATAGTACATCATGAGAAATGCTGGGCTGGAAGAAGCACAAGCTGGAATCAAGATTGTCGGGAGAAATATCAATAACCTCAGATACGCAGACGACACCACCCTTATGGCAGAAAGTGAAGAGGAACTAAAAAGCCTCTCGATGGAAGTGAAAGAGGAGAGTGAAAAAGTTGGTTTAAAGCTCAACATTCAGAAAACTAAGATCATGGCATCTGGTCCCATCACTTCATAGCAAATAGATGGGGAAACAGTGGCAGACTTTATTTTTGGGGGCTCCAAAATCACTGCAGATGGTGACTGCAGCCATGAAATTAAAAGACGTTTACTCCTTGGAAGGAAAGTGATGACCAACCTAGACAGCATATTAAAAAACAGAGACATTACTTTGCCAACAAAGGTCCATCTAGTCAAGGCTGTGGTTTTTCCAGTGCTCATGTGTGGACATGAGAGTTGGACGGTGAAGAAAGCTGAGCACCAAAGAATTGATGCTTTTGAACTGTGGTGTTGGAGAAAACTCCTGAGAGTCCCTTGGACTGCAAGAAGATCCAACCAGTCCATCCTCAAGGAGATCAGTCCTGGGTGTTCATTGGAAGGACTGATGCTGAAGCTGAAACTCCAGTACTTTGGCCACCTCATGCGAAGAGTTGACTCATTGGAAAAGACCCTGATGCTGGGAGGGATTGGGGGCAGGAGGAGAAGGGGACGACCGAGGATGAGATGGTTGGATGTCATCACCGACTCGATGGACATGAGTTTGAGTAAACTCCGGGAGTTGGTGATGGACAGGGAGGCCTGGCATGCTTCAATTCATGGGGTCGCAAAGAGTCGGACACGACTGAGCGACTGAACTGAACTGAAATAGGTTCATCAGTACCATTTTTCTAGAATCCATAGATATGCATTAATATAGGATACTTGTTTTCCTGACTTACTTGTGTAACAGGCTCTGGGTTCATCCACCTCACTACAGCTGACTCAAATTCATTCTTTTTTTATAGCTGAGTAATATTCCAGT